TCCTTCCTTCCTTCCTTCCTTTTATTCATTCATTCATTCATTCATTCATTCATTCATTCATTCATTCATTCATAAATTTGTATGTCGCCCATCTCCCCCAATTGGTGACTTACCAGCATTTAATAATAGAGAAGATTACTGATCCACAGCAGCCATTCAAAAGCAAAGAAGGGACAGTAATTACATGTAAACTGAACTAAGATTAAAATGCTTGCAATTAATACTAGTTATTAGCTACAGAGCACATATAGTAAAGATAGTCATTAGCCAGTCTGAGTACTGGTTGATTGTCTTTCTCATTTTTTACCAGTGGAAGAAGTCCTGGCCAACTAAGTTTACACACAGAAAGACACACAGACACTTTTGTATGTTTTGGTGTTGTTGTTTTTTTGTTTTTTTTTGGGGGGGTTACATTTTACTGGTCCAGGCAACAACATTTAATAACATGAACTAAGAATATGACTACCATTGGGTGCAGGTTAAGCTTCTGCTCACAATATGAAGGGAAAATTAGATGAGAGATGGAATTGTACGCAACCCTTCATGGATCTTGTCCTAATCTGTGCTCAAGTTATACCTCCATCTCATGAACCAAGATCTCCCTCATATGTGGATTAGCCCATATTCCCTGGGTGAGCTATTGAAAAGAGATTAGAATGTGCTAGATGTGGCATGCAGCCATTGCCTCCTCACCAGTCACCTATTTTTCCAAGAAATTAGGCTAAGAAACAGACTTACTTTTGCCAATACAAACTCATGGTACAATGAATGATAGTGCTCCAAGAGATTATCTCATTAGTGAACAAAGTTTCTGAGCTTCTTTTTCCTGGTTTTGGGCTGGTGATAGGATGCAAGGCTCATTTGTCAAAGCAAGCATTCTTAACTGTAGAAAGAGAATACTGGAGAATTTAGTTATGCAGTGTGCTGGAAGGTACTGTAGAAATATATCAAGTTTATTTTTTATTATTTTATTATTTATTAAACATATTTCTATGTTGCCACAATCAAAACAACTCTCATGGCTCACCTAGAAAGTTGATCTCAAGAATGACAAAATTTTCATAATCTGTTGTTATGATTTACATAAACATACATATTGCTTCCATACTATGATATACTTAAGCTATAAGAAATGGCAGTACAGAAATTGTACAGTAGCTGTATTCAGGAAGCTTGCATAAAGAAGAGGCAAGAATTAGAAAGGAACATGCAGGTTGAAAATCCAACCACTACACATCTAAGGTCAATTCACATAGGCTGACTGTTATAGCTAAAAAGCCTACAGCCCGGAAAATAAGACAGATGCAAACATGGATAAAGAGACTATTGTATGTGGTGTAAAAATGAGATGGCTGCAGCGCTGGCACAAGGGAGACAGTATTGCAGTGCTTGCAGTGCTTGACAAAATCCAATCATTCAACTAGGGAAGAAAAATTATTATAGTAAAGTCTGTGTTTAGAAAATCAGTGTGATTTTTTACGTGCCTGCATATTAAATTTATATATCTATCATATTATCCTGTGATATACAGTTGTTGTTGTTCAGTCGTTAAGTCATGTCCGACTCTTCAG